GGAAAAAGAACCTGGTTTGAAAAGGTAAACCAGCAGGGAGCCCAACATTCCCTACAGATCCCACATCAAATGCAGGATAATGTTGTTAATTTAGTAGAGCAATTATTATTCGAGCTATTCATCTTCTCAGTGACCTAGGCCACAATTATTGATCATAAAATTCCTATCAAATTCAGTGATATGGATGGCATAGTCCCCTGGTACAAAACAGACCATCTCTCTCAGTACTGGGACCATAGCACAAGTTTGCATGCCTCCACAAATTCAAATTCCAGTGGAAACCCATTACTGTACCATCAAATAAATTCCAAGCCTAAAGCATGCCTGCCTAATACAAATTAAGTTACAGCGCACACATAAAAATATACTTATACATATTATCAGACTACTTAAAATTGCCTAAGAAAACAAATATGGAATTCAGTACCACCATATGGCTATATTGTGTTAAGCTCACCGCTACTTCACAGTACCCTAATATCAGTGGGTCCTGCACTAATTCCCAATGTTTGAGACAAATTAAATAATGCTAGTGATAAATAAGCTAACGTGTATTAAAATAATCTATTGTAAGAACATTGTGAGTATACAAAATACAAAATTATTGTGATAAAAGCAGTTGAAAACAGTGTCAAAACAAAACAATTAAAGTGTTAGTGCATGGATGGATATACTCACAATGCAAATTATATACAGTGAGGGAAAAAAGTATTTGTTCCTCTGCTGATTTTGAACGTTTGCCCACTGACAAAGAAATAACCAATCTATAATTTTAATGGTAGGTGTATTTTAACAGTGAAAGACAGAATAACAAAAACAAAATCCAGAAAAACGCATGTCAAAAAGTTATCAATTGTTTTGCTTGTTAATGAGTGAAATAAGTATTTGACCCCTTCGACTTAGTAATTGGTGGCAAAACCCTTGTTGGCAATCACAGAGGTCAGATGTTTCTTGTAGATGACCACCAGGTTTGCACACATCTCAGGAGGGATTTTGTCCCACTCCTCTTTGCAGATCCTTTCCAAGTCATTGAGGTTACGAGGCTGACGTTTGGCAATTTGAACCTTCAGCTCCTTTAACAGATTTTCTATGGGATTAAGGTCTGTAGAGTGGCTAGGCCACTCCAGGACCTTAATGTGCTTCTCTTGAGCCACTCCTTTGTAGCCTTGGCTGTGTGTTTTGGGTCATTATCATGCTGGAATACCCATCCACGACCCATTTTCAATGCCCTGAATGAGGGAAGAAGGTTCTCACCCAAGATTTGACAGTGCATGGCCCTGTCCATCGTCCCTTTGATGCGGTGCAGTTGTCCTATCCCCTTAGCAGAAAAACACCCCCAACGCATAAGGTTTCCACCACAATGTTTGATGGTTCTTGGGGTTCTTCGGGGTCATAGGCAGTACTCCTCCTCCTCCAAACACGGTGAGTTGAGATGATCTTTGGCAAACTTCAGCCTGTACATATGCTTTCTTGAGCAGGGGGACCTTGCGGCACTGCAGAATGTCATTCTTCACAGTGTAGTGTGTTACCAATTGTTTTCTTGTTGACTATGGTCCCAGCTGCCTTGAGATCATTAACAAGATCCTCCCATGTAGTTCTTGGCTGAATTCTCACTGTTCATGAAACAATTAAATCATTAAAACTCCACTGGGTGAGATCTTGCGTGGAGCACCAGACCGAGGGAGACTGACCGTTATTTTGTGCTTCTTCCATTTGTAAATAATCTCACCAACTGTTGTCACGTTCTCACCAAGCTGCTTGGCGATGGTTTTGTAGCCCATTTCAGCCTTGTGTAGGTCTAAAATCTTGTCCCTGACATCCTTGGACAGCTTTTTGGTCTTGGCCACAGTGGAGAGTTTGGGATCTGATTGACTGATTGCTTCTGTGGCAGGTGTCTTTTATACAGGTAACGAGCTGAGATTAGGAGCACTCCCTTTAAGAGATTGCTCTTAATCTCAGCTCGTTAACTGTATAAAACTGTAGGACACCTGGGTGCCAGAATCTTGCTTATTGATAGGGGATCAAATACTTATTTCACTCATTGACTTGCAAATCAATTTAGAACTTTGACATGCTTTTCTGGATTTTTTTTATTCTGTCTCTCACTGTTAAAATACACCTACCATTAAAATTATGGACTGATCATTTATTTGCCAGTGGGCAAACATTCAAAATCAGCAGGGGATCAAATACTTTTTTCCCTCACTGTATATATATATAGATACACCTGTGGCCACCTCCAAAGGGGCCTCTGAAGCTGTCTTTGCTAAAGCAAGCCTATTAACAGTCCCAATTTGGGAGTGACAGTCCCAGTTTCTGGGTCCTATCCTGCTGTACTGATTGTGTTCCTTGTTGCCCCACATCTGGGGATACCAGGAAAATGTCCTGATCCAGAGGTGCTCACACTTTGCTTTGGTACTAGGACCATAAAGACAGCACTAAAGAAGCTGCTCTGGGTGAGAATGGTCAGGAGGTTTACATGCCCCTTTCTTTAGGTAGGCAAGTTGCATCAATGGTATGCCCTTTCAATGCCCACCTCCCCTGCCCCCAGGGCCGGACTGAAAAAAAAAAATTTGGCCGGGCATTTTTCAATCACAGCAGCCCCCTGAGAAGGGGGCGGGGCCACAGAGGGTGTGTTTTGTCATCACTAATGACAAGCACACCCCCTCTCAAAGTGAGCAGGTTGGTTCAATGCGCAGAGCCCCGCTGAAGAGCTCTAGCAAGAGAAAAAGGCCCTGTACCTGTTCTGCGCAACGCAAGCAAATTTAACAACATGCTTGCGCTGTGTTTGTTTTTAACTTGTCTCTGGTGCCTCAGTAAGTGGGATACCAGAGGACAAGAGGGCTAGTAAAACGTGTCGTGCTAGGGGCTGTAGAGAGTGTATGTATAGGGGGCATCAGTGGTGTATCTTGGTTTTGTGCTGCCCTAGGCGATAATAAACTCGGGCACCCCCCTAATATAAATTTGACCCACCCCTTCCTGTCAAGGCCAAACCCCTTTTTGTTTAAGAGCCACCCCTTCCTCTTAAAGTAAACCCCACCTCTTCCTCTTTAGGCTCCACCCTTTCCTGTTAGAGCTTCACATCTTCCTTTAAATAAATTCTTTATTTTCGGGACATTGCCAGAACAGAGGTATCTTCTGCAGAAGAACTTATTAAGTATGAACGAAAGTGGAGGCACTCATCAACTAAACACTCCTGTTCCAAGTCTTTGCTGTAAGAAGAACAAAGGTTATTTGCATGCTGTGAAATTGCTGATGGCTCAGTTTTTGATAGGTCAGTAATGAATTTAAACTTTCCAAAGAAAGAGTCATATGCCGTTTTTCTTCTCATAAGTTCAGCAACTAAGTTGTCACAAATAACATAAAAGGTGTTAATGCAAACGTTTTCTTGGGCTACCTCTGCCTGTGTCTTGCTGGAAGTTGCTGAACCTTTCCTTGATTGTACACCTTTCCTCTTAATCTCATAATCCTTCACAACTGATTTTTCCATTGCAGCAGCTTCGAAAGTTGGGAATATGTCTCTGGTTTCTCGAACAAACTGGATCAGTGACTCATACAATTCCCCCTACAATTCCAGCATCAATGCCAATGCTTTGGAGTTTTTTGTTAACTGCACCAAATCTATCCAGGATAGTACCCCACAAGCCACTCATAAGTGCAGTCTCCAGACGTATTTTATTGAGAAGACCTTCAGCTTCCCTTCATGTTCCTGGTGCCTCTGCAGTATTTTCCTTGATTTTTGTTATGGCTTCGATTACTTGAGTCCAATTTCGATTTAAGCTTCGACAGGCATCTTCCCTGGCTGACCACCGTGTGCCAGATAATCTCTTTACCACTAGAGTGTTTGGCAGAGATGATAAATGTTCTTGTAAAATCTCCCATCTGTGAGTAGAAGCAGTAAAAAAATGTAAAGGTATTGCAGGAGACCAAAGAATGAACAGGCTTCAGGACAACTTTCAGCAGCATGCTTCCCTGCTAGATTTAAAGAGTGTGCAGAGCATGGAATATATACAGCAAGTGGGTTTCTTTCCAGAATTCTGGCTTGAAATCCTCTATAATGGCCAGACATATTGCTTGCATTGTCATATGATTGACCACGACAGTTGGCAATATCAAGATCATATGACTTAAGAGTGGTGAGGACCACTTCAGCCAGTTGTTCCGATTTATGTCCAGGATTTGGACTAAAACATAGAAAGCGCTCAACCGGTAAGCCATCTTCCTTGACATACCTTGAGATGAAGGCCAGCCGATCTGTGTGGGAGCTATCAGGTGTTGAATCAACACTGATAGAGTAATATTTAGCAACCTTTGCCTCCTTAACTATCTGCTAACAGAATCTGACATAAGCTGAATAAACTGCTCACAGGTAGTGAATGAGAGGTAAGATGTGACTCCTTTTCATGAATTGCCGTAACGGGCAATGTGTTATGCTATAAATGGGTCAAATTCTGACAGAAATTTGAACATCATCATGTAGTTTCTGTTGTGTGTGGAACCAAAACGGTCATCTTTCCCTCTGAAAGCAAGTCCTCGAGTGCCTTAACTGCAGCAACAATTCTTTTTAAAACATTTCTCCAATGTTGAATTTCATCAGAACGCTGCTTGGTAAGACTTTCATCAATTCTCCCCAGTGTACAAGATAGCACGCAGGATTTTTGTTCAGCTGAGTGCTTGTGTTCATTTAATCGAGCCGTGTCATTTTTCCAGTCATTGAAGCCACTTTCTGCCAACTGGGATTTGCCACCAAACAAACGACATGGAGCACAAAACACGACTCAGTTGCTTTTGGAGTAAACCAAATAGCTCATTTTTTGTTTCTCTCCATTAAAGTTTTCTTTTTCAAAAAGGTGTTTAGTTAGCAACCTAGAATGGTCAGCATACAAACTTCCCAACTGTGTAAAGTCGAGATTCTCATTTTTAATTATTCCATGTTTAGCCACATGGTCTCTGGTGCACTCATTTAAAACCCATTCAGCAAGATCAGAGCTCACTCCTATTTATACAACAAGATCATCAAATTCTACTGAACTCGAAGGACCTGATTCAGAAGTCTCAGTTTCTCTGGCAATACTAGTACTACTGGTAGCTAGTGAAGTATCATAACTGCATGTAGCAACATCAGTTTCACAGATGTCAGCAGTTAAATCTTCACCTACCTCCTCACCCTGCTCAGTATTAGAAGAAGCCACAGGTTTCGCGAAAAATAGTTCAATTTTTCCTGTCTGTTCAAGCTCCCTGGCTTGTTTTTCACCCCTAATTTTTGCATTTTTTCGGTAACCTGCTCCACTTAGCCTTTTTCGCCTGACACTCATGGCTGCTAAGAATAGTACCAATTCTGTAAAAAACAACCGACATAGCATCAGTAAAAATCAACCGACAAAGCATCAGTAAAAATCAACCGACATAGCATCAATGAAAATCAACAGACATAGCATCAGTAAAAATCAACCGCGATAACGTCAATGAAAATCAACAGACATAGCGTCAATAAAAAAATCAACAGGCATAGCGTCAGTGAAAATCAACAGGCATAGCATTGGTGAAAATCAACAGGCATAGCATCAATGAAAATCAACAGACATAGCATCAGTAAAAATCAACCTCCATAACGTCAATGAAAATCAACAGACATAGCGTCAATAAAAAAATCAACAGGCATAGCGTCAGTGAAAATCAACAGGCATAGCATTGGTGAAAATCAACAGGCATAGCATCAATGAAAATCAACAGACATAGCATCAGTAAAAATCAACCTCCATAACGTCAATGAAAATCAACAGACATAGCGTCAATAAAAAAATCAACAGGCATAGCGTCAGTGAAAATCAACAGGCATAGCATTGGTGAAAATCAACAGGCATAGCATCAATGAAAATCAACAGACATAGCATCAGTAAAAATCAACCTCCATAACGTCAACGAAAATCAACAGACATAGCGTCAATAAAAAAATCAACAGGCATAGCATCAATAAAAAACAACAGGCATCGCATCAATGAAAATCAACAGACATAGCATCAGTAAAAATCAACCGCCATGGTGGCCTACTGTCAGAGCTGAACAGACGCATGTAGGAGCAGCCCCCGGCGAGAAAACCGTAAAGAGCGACAAATAAACGGAACACCGAGCGAGAAACACAAACCCAGAACGGAGAAGACTCTCATGATGTCTCAGTGCCAAAAAGCAAAAACTGGGAAGTCCGACCGAGCCTCATTCTTCCTAATGAAAACCGTGGCCTCCAAACAGAGAAAGGAGCAGACGCCTGCACAAGATGGCGGCGGCCAGAACAGGCGGGAACACTCCACCTCCCCACAAGCATCCCCAGCGCACACTGCCGACGAACAGCCGCTGACAATGGGAGCCATCTGGGAAGTGATGGCAGAATTCTCAGACACTATAAACCAAAACATGAAGAAAAACTCCAAACACTGACAGCCAAACTCCAAAAGGACATACAAGACATAGGTAACCGCACATCTCAGATAGAAACAAAGATGGACGAATATGCAGCAGCACACAACACCCTAGCAGACAAAATACAGGAACTGGATGACACCCTTGAAGCACATAGACCAATCTGTGCAAAATGCAGAACTATACAATTACCTGTTAGATCTGTTCCAAAGTCTCACGCCAGAAGTCCACCGAGATCAGCTCATCATAGATAGAGCACACAGGCTGCGCAGACCAAAACACTTGCCCATAACAGCAGCACGAGATGTCATTGCGCGAATACACTTTTTCCATACCAAAGAGAAGAAATGTGGAGATGCCGGAAGCCTATAGATCCATAAAGATTTTCGCAGACCTATCAGCGGACACGCTACACTTCAGAAAACCGGTTACCTCCGTCCTGAGGGAACAAAATCTGAACTACTGCTGGGGCTACCCAGCCAAGCTTTTAATCTCACACCAAGAAGCAATACACTCCATCACAACTGTGGCGCACGGTGTTCAAAAGCTGAAGGAATGGGGACTCCCGATCCAAAACTTGGGCCCAATCAAACCAGCCAAGGTTCCGCGGAAGTCTCCAGAGTGGACGACCCAATAGGAGCTGAACATTCCTACCGACATACGTAACTATGCGATGTATACAGCACACTTTAAATAGATACAAGGCTCCGCTAGAGTCGTTACTGTATGAGCATACTTGTTTACGCTTAAACATGTAATATGTACTAATACTTGACATATGCCTGAGACAAAGCACGGGCCACAATGGGCAGCACTGTTGCTGGTTAGAATCTGACTCTGCCTGATTAGCGGTACTAAACCATCTACAGGGGGTTAAAAGGAACTATGACCTAAACCACACTAGCCATGTTAATGTAGAGCACGTGTATATAGTTGGTAACATGTGTGTTGTTAGAAATGTGACACATATATTGTTGGTTCTCGTAGTTTTAGGCTAAAACTGCTCATGGTTTTATACGGTGGATGACCTAAAGAATAGCCGACTTCACCACCACCTCCCACAATGTCCGCGCCTATATACTAGGCAGGGAGATACGGCCCCACTCCTCGGAGCCGAAATGGGTAATCCACCCACCTATTATTTTAATCCCAGTTCACCCCCCACCTATCTCACTCACCCTCTAACTGGTCACAAATTACGACCCCACCGCAGAGGCCGTTATGCACAGCCCCCAAACCGAAATGATAATAGTAACCCAACACAATTGAAAGGGAACGTAGGTCAACCCGACAAAGCACAAAGTAACATACTAGAACCCCAGAATGAAAATACTGACCTATAATGTAAAGGGGCTGAACACCTGTCAGGTATACCTAACATTCATGCTGCCGCCGGAACCCACTTCCGGGTTCACGGCGCTTAGCTCCGCCCTTTTTTCTGACGTGGTCTTTCCACGATACTTAGGAAGACCGCGCCAGATTCAAAGGGCTGGATTATTCACTCAGGTGCGGCAGTAAGATCAGCTGCCCCACTCGATGCTACCGGCTCCTCTCTCAGACCTCGGGTTGTAAACGGATTTCTACCTTCTCCTCCCTCATTTCTACCTTCTCATCCCTCAGACCTCGGCTTGTAAACGGATTTCTACCTTCTCATCCCTCAGACCTCGGCTTGTAAACGGATTTCTACCTTCTCATCCCTCAGACCTCGGCTTGTAAACGGATTTCTACCTTCTCATCTCTCAGACCTCGGGTTGTAAACGGATTTCTACCTTCTCATCCCCAGACCTCGGCTTGTAAACGGATTTCTACCTTCTCCTCTCTCAGACCTCGGCTTGGACAAACGGACTTCCTTTCTCTCACTACTAAACTGCAGTTTGTTAAAAGAGACTCCTTCCTTTTCCTCCATTGGGTGAATTAACCCTTCCAGTGCCAGAGTGCTTCTAAGTTAAGTAAATCTCTTGTCAAGGAAAGCAAGTCATATCAATTATTATAGTATTTAATTTCTCTAAACTCTCTGTTGACAAATAAGCATTGCATTTTTTCCTTGCATGTGTATTTAAAGATACAGTCTACCTTGTTCACTTCAATAAAATAAAGGAGGTGAAACTTATTGTTTCTGCAGTTGAGTTCCAATTAAAGAGACATTACACAAAAGCATCACAGAATAATCCAGCCAATTCAATGGAACCAGCAGATATTAACTCTCAAGTTTCTGCCCTAACCAATAGAGTAGATACAATTGCTCAAGGGTTACAGGAATTGCAAATTACAAATGAGAGAATATTAACCTATGTTAGAGACATGCAAGGCCATCTTCCTCATGCCGCTCTTCAATCGGCTGGTGATCCTGCTGTCTGTAATCCAGAAAAATTTTATGGAGATAGAACAAAGTACAGAGAGTTTTTAAATTCTTGCAAACTTCTGATAGCTTTGAAACCTCGATCTTACCTCACTGAAAGGTCAAAAGTTTGTTCAGTAATTTCCTTTCTAAGAGGTGAACCTATGGCTTGGGCCCATTCCTTTTTAGAGAATGATGATCCCATACTAGATTCACTGGATGAATTTTTTGAAGCTATGTCTTTATTATATGAAGATCCATATAAACAGGCTACTGCTGATTTAACCATCAGAACTCTCCACCAAAAGAACAGACCTGTTGAAGATTACATCGCCGAATTTAAAAGATGGGCTACCGAAACCCAATGGAATGACATCACACTACGCAATCAATACCGTCTCGGATTATCAGAAGCTGTGAAAGATGAACTCTCTCGTATTGAACTTCCTCCCACCTTAAATGCCTTGATTCAACTTTCCATTAGTATTGACAGACGTCTAAGAGAAAGAAGGGCTGAAAAAGTTCTTACTACGTCTAACTGGAGAAAACATTTTACTACTCCAAAATTTCCTGAAAAATCTCTTCCTCACAATGAACCTATGGAAGTTGGTATAATAAGAAGCCCTCTTACTTCGGAAGAAAGGATAAGAAGGAGACAACTAAATTTGTGCATGTATTGTGCTTCAAAAGAACATCTAATCCCAGAATGTCCCCTACTAATCCATTCGAAAGCTGGTAAGCTTCATTCATCTACTTCTATATTGAACGCTCTTCAAAAAAGGAAAACATCTACTTATTTTTCTATATCTCTCATATTACAGTGGGATACAAAAAGAATCGTGACTGAAGCCATTATTGATTCTGGTGCTAATGGAACCTTCCTTGATTTTTCTTTTGTTGCAAAGAATAAAATTCCGTGTGTTCGAAAAACCAATTTTATTCCAATCAGAGTTATTGATGGTTCATTCATATCCTCAGGACCCATAAAAGATGAGACAATTCCTCTAAGAATGATTACCAATAACGTACATACAGAATTCCTTACATTTGATGTTATTAAATCTCCACTTTATCCCGTCATTCTAGGAATTAATTGGTTAAAACTCATGATCCTTTAATTAAATGGTCACCCTTTTCCATTTCTTTTCCTTCTGACTTTTGCAAAAAAACCTGCTTCCAACATATTCCTATTCTCCAAACTACTCAGGAATCAATTATACCTCCATTCTACTCTGACTTTTCAGATGTCTTTTGTAAAAAAGAAGCGGAAACACTTCCACCTCATCGAGCATATGATTGCCCAATAGATCTAATACCTGGTGCTCCCATTCCTTATGGACACATTTATCCACTTTCTGAAAAGGAATTACAGACCTTAAAAGAATATCTTAATGAAAATTTACGTAAAGGATTCATCAGACCCTCGACTTCACCGGCTGCCTCTAGTATATTTTTTGTGAGGAATAAGGACCAAACCATCCGACCCATTATAGATTACAGAGCCTTAAATAAAATAACCATAAAAAATCGTTATCCTCTTCCACTAATAAATGAATTAAT